TGATCTGAATTGGCTGGAGTGGGGGGGGGGGCAGCCCAGGGAGGCACTCCCCCTCTTTGCCAGAGAAACAGCCTTCCATCCGACCTACCTTTGCGACGCTGCCCAGCCAGAAGAGGGTGAGCGAGGGCATGGAGGTGCCGTTGCCAATCGCGACGGGCAAAGTCCACAGGAAAAGCAGGAGACAGTCCATGGCCCTCGCCTGGGTACATCTGGGAATACTGGGGTGGGGGGAGGCGAGGGAAGGGGGTTACCTGCCTCCGCCGCTGCCGCCACCGGACACGTGCAGCGGCAGCTCCAGTCCCCGCCACATGTTCTTCACTGGGCTCTGGGCAGCCCGGCTTGGCATCGCCGGCCTGCACCGCCCACCGCGGGCAGCGGCGTCGGGCAGCCCAGGGAGAGGCGAGGCGAGGCGAGGCGCGTCGCGGGGATCCCTCCCTCCCCGCCTCCGCCGCAGCCAGCGCGCAGCTTTTGAAAATCGCAGCCCGCCCGTCGCGGTGCGCCGGGACGCGGCCGGGGGGGGGAGGTCCGCGGTGGTTTCCAGCAGGAGCGCTGGCGATCCGTGGGGGGTTAGAGGCCCTGGGGGTAGCGGGTCTCCGGAGGCGACCGGAGCTAGGGAGTCTGCCCGCTTCTTGCGTTTGGTAAAACACTTATGCCAAAGGACTGGCACGATCCGAAGCGCATTTACGCAGAAGTCAGGGCCACTCCCGCTGAGTGGGGGTTGCCAACCTCCAGGTGGGGCCGGGGGGGGTCTTCTGGTCTCCAGGCTACAAGTGGCAGTTCCCCGGAAGAAATTGCAGCTTCGGAGATTGGATTGTGGAGTCTCCCCTTCCCCAAACTGGCGTCTCCCCCCTCCCCAACCCTTGCCCTCCCCAGTCTCCACCACCTCCAGATCTCTAGGAGTTTCGATACGTAGAGCTGGCAACCCCGTAAAAATGCCATCAAGCCACAGCTGACTAATTGCGACCGCGACCGTAGGGTTTTCAAGGCAAGAGACATTCAGAGGTGGCTTGCCATGGCCTTCTGTGTTCGGCCCCTGGTATTCCTTGGAGGTCCCCCCATCCAAATACTAGCAAGTGCTGTCTTCCAAGATCTGATTAGAGCACAGTAGCCTGGGTTATCCAGGTCATGGCAACCCTACCGGAGTTCAAAAGGCATTTCACTTCTACCCCTCCTTTCCCCTCAGTGGGGACCTAGAGTGGCTTACATCACTTGCCTTTCATCCATGTTATCCTCGCAACAACCCTGCAATGTCAGTTCTGTTCAGAGTGGCCCAAGGCAACCCAGCAAGTTTCCACAGCAGAATGGGGATTTGATCTTGGGTTTCTCAGATCCCAGTCAGGCATTATAATCGCTACACCACACTGACTCTCCAATGCACCCAAATCAGCTTTCATAAGATTGTAGCCCTTCATCAGCTGCAGAAGAACAAAGTAAGCAAAAGACTTGCACTGGCCCCGGTTACACGGGCCGGATACCATGGGGGGGGGGGGGGCCTGGCGCAGTTTGATCCACAATTACACGATCAGACGGGCCGGCGGCACCCCACGTCGGTGGCGCCGGGTAAACAAGGGACCGGAGGGAAATGCCGCACGCCGGCGCGATCACACCATGGGCATCTGGAGGCAGCCAGTGGCAAACGTTTACTAGTACTTTGGAGGTACTAGTTTTTTAATGTGCACTGTCGGTGGTAAGCCACGGGTGCGCTCCACTTCCCAGATGTTGGGGTGTGATCACGCCCGGCTAATCCGCCCACCATCCGTGCCTCTCCCGTGGCAACTTTGCCATGTGACCGGGGCCACTGTCATCCTAAACAGAGTTATACCCTTCTAAACCCATGGTTTTTAAAGGGTGTAACTCTGTTTAGGATGGCATTGTAACCAGTGTTCCCTCTAAGCTGAGTTAGTGTGAGCTAGCTCAGTTTTTCAGCCTCCAGCTCACACATCGTTGTCTTAGCTCAGTCAGGAAGGATGACTCCAGAGCAAACTAATTTATGCAGTAGGAAAATCGCTCACTCACAACTTTAATGTTCTGGCTGAGCAAGCAAAGCAAGCACCTGAGCAGAGAGACAGGGCCAGAGCCGTCCAGTTAGTGAAGTCAGAGCCAGCCCAAGGGTCATTAGGTGCAGACAGGTCTGAGAAGCAGAATCCAAAGGCAGTCCAGATAACAAAGTCCAAGGTCAGTCCAAATACCACAAGGTGCAAGACAGAGCTGTGGTCACTCAGCTCACCGAGATGTGACTCATTGCTTTCACAGCTGGAAAGGCATGCCAGCTTGGTTTAAGTAAGCCTCTCACACTGAGCTGACTTAAGCAAGGCAAGGTCCTGCAATCACTCAGGACTGCTGTCAGCCAAACGCCTGCGTTGGGCCAAGAGACTGCGCACTGCGCTTTCTCTCAGTACATTGCTGGCAAGTGGCAAGATCACTCCCAGCGTTGGTCTGCTACTGAGAGGGAATCCAAGGAGTCATCCTGCCCCAGTTGTTCTTCATCATTGCCTCCTGTAGTCTGCCTGGAGGAGTCGGGGTCAGCTGTCAGCATTGACTCCTGGAGTTCCTGACTTTTGAGCTGGGCCCAGGCTCTTTCATGGCTGAGTTCCGACTGGTCAAGCTGACCCATGACATTTAATGCCAGTAGCTCACAAAGTAGATTTTTTTTTGCTCACAAGATGCCACAGCTTAGAGCGGGGTGTCAAACATGCGGCCCGGGGGCCTGATCAGGCCCGCAGTGGAACTGGCTGTCTTCTGCTTCTTCTTCCAGTGCTGCTGCTGCTGCATCATCGTAGGTTTGCAGCTTACAGATACACACCTGAACAGCATACTCAAGCTTGCAACAGCACAGGCATTTTGATGCGGTAATGCAGAGCAAGATGTGTCAGTTATCAGACACTGTTAAATAAACAGAACATTGCAAGAGTGCTAATGTTCAGCGTTGGCGCGGCTTTTAAAAGCCGCGCCTTTAGAGGCTTTTCCCCTGCCGTGTGGCAGGGGCCAATGATTAACTAATTTGTATTCATGGATTAGATTCCACTTAAATTATGATTTGTATTAGTATCCCAAAGGAGGGAAGGCGGCCTGGTATAACCCAGTCTTATCAGATGTCAGATTGCAGAAGCTAAGCAGGTTTGGTCCGGCCCTCATAACAAATGAGTTTGACACCCCTGGCTTAGAGGGAACATTGATTGTAACAGTTACAGATCAGTGAGTTTAGACTAAAGTAACTCTGCACAGGATGGCTCTGTTACAAACTAGAGCTCAATTAATGATAATAATATTTATCCCAGGGAGTCAGCAAAGCAGTAGGCAGTTGGCTCAGAAATAACCCCACTGAGTTCAAAGGGGCTGACACCTGAGCCTACCCTACTCTCCTCCTGCGCCGGCAGGAATAGCAAAGGTGTTCACTGAGTTCAAAGGGGCTGACACCTGAGCCCCCCCTCCCCCCCTGCACCGGCAGGAATAGCAAAGGTGTTCAAAGATTAACAAATTTGTATTCATGGATTAGATGCCACTTAAACTATTATTTGTATTAGTATCCTTATGTTAATAAGTTCCTGCTGGGTGTGGCCAACTCAGGAACCAGCCGGAACTCCATTCCTGTGCGTTCCTGCCCAAAAATAGCCCTGCCTCCGAGGAAGACTCTGCAGAGGAAGGCAATGGCAAACCACCCCTCCTTAAGTCAGCTGTGACGTGTGGTCACACACCACACACACTCATATTCCTTTCTGTTCCCTCTCATTCAATGAACTAATGCTAAAATGCATGTGCAAAACCTGAACCACAAGGATTTGAATGGATGGGGCTTGCTGGACATAAGAACATAAGAGAAGCCAATGTTGGACCAGGCCAATGGCCCATCCAGTTCAACACTCTGTCACACAGTGGCCTAAAATACCAGGTGTCATCAGGAGGGCCAACAGTGGGACCAGGACACTAGAAGCTCTCCCACTGTTCCCCCCCCCAGCACCAAGAATACAGAGCATCACTTGCCCCATCACTTGGACGCTACTGCACAGCTGTAATAGAGCAATTGTGTAATTTAAAAACAAAACAAAACATTGGATACCACCACCCCCACATGTCACAAGTGACGTTCCACCCTGATTTAGAAAGGTGTGTTTTTAAAATTGTAGCTGCAGAATAAATATATCAGAGGAAAAAGAATGGTACATAAGGCAGGCACAGAATACGCAGTCAAGGTTAAATGTTTACTGCTCTGCAAATCTGCAGTAAGATGTGTATGCGTAATGGGCCTTAGCCTCTTGGTCTTCTCAGGAGTGGGCCACACCGAGTTTAAAGGGCTTTACTCCTGAGTCCCTGCTTGTGACCTGTATCCATGCATCATTGGATATTGTGCAGTCAACTGGGTTTTCCTGCGCAGACAAGACTATCTAGTTGTGAATGGCTACTTTAGTGCAGCAGCCAGTGATATGTGGATGCATCTGGCTCATTACTGATATTCATATTTTAATATAACTAGCAAGCAATAATAAATAATAATAACATTAATTAACAATTGGTTTACTATTAATTAATATTGCCCCATTAATATTTCCAACAGCGGTATAAAGAAGGGCAGTATCATTATACCCATGTTGCAGCTTGGGAGGGGGGGGCTGAGAGTGGCTCGCTTTTAAGACACTGCGACTGCTGGTATGGGGTGTGAACCACCACCCTCCTATATCACAGCTCAGATATCACAAGCATTAAGTGACATGTTACTTATTTCTAGCAACATCCCCACCCCGGCCTCAGGCAAGAACTTTCACAATAACAACATAAGTGCATAGCATCTCTATTAGAATGCTCAGTGCGCTTTGCATACAACGTACATGTCTATACTGCCTCTTTTCCAAGGAGCTCAGAGCAGCATACATTGTTCTCCCCGCCTTCATTTTATCCTCACCACAACAACCCTGTGAGGTAGGTAGCTTCCTGCCAAGGTGGGGCTTAGATCTTAGATCTCCCAGATCCTTGGGCCACAATCAAACCACAAATATGAAGGACCGTCGCTACCAACATGAACCTGTATGCCTGCTCCATTCCTCCATCTGGCTATTGCTTTCCATTCCTCTTCCCAGGGTCTTTGGCTCTTCTTTTGCTGGAGGTAAAGGGGATTCCAGGGATGCAGAACGGTATGGTACAGCCTGATCTCATCAGATCTCAGACACCAAGCAGAGTCGGTCCTTGGATGGGCGATCATTGAGAAAGACTCTGCAGGGGAAGGCAATGGCAAACCATCGCTGCTTCTCACTTGCCCGGAAAGCCCACGTTGGGGTTACCATGAGTCAGCCGCATGACAGCACTCACGTACATAAGGGCAGGGCTATTTTTGGGCAGGAACGCACAGGAACG